AGTCCACCTTTTCCGCATTCAGATAGTTCATTCCACCAAGGGACTGCACTATAATTTCCCTTCGCAGCTGGGAATACTGTTTCACCCCCTTCATCAACATCTGACCTGCAGCACGCCAAGAGAATTGTCTAAGGGATTCCACGAGAATACATTAAGAATAAACCTTGCCGAGGAAACGTCACTTACAAGTACATTAAAACCGTCGCAATGCGTTGACCTCCATTTTTAGTGTTAAACTCATCAAGAAAGTAATCGTAGTGGGGCTCATACTTTTGCCCCACTTCGTAGTGGAGAATTTGAAGACCTTCACCATGCTCTGTAAACAGAAGCAGATACATCAATTCACATGCAGTTTAAGGCATTACATAATGACAAATTGTCACACAGCTCACTACTGAAAGAGGTAATTTGAGCACGTCTAGTAGTGTCGTTCAAACGAATCACTGGTTAAGCACGAAGATGATGTATCTAGTTTAAGGTTCTTTTCAAAAGAAAGTTAATGAACACTTAGGTTCATAGAATAAGCTATCTCTGAATGTGGAAGGAGCAGAAATGAAACTAGTGGTTGACACTAATAATGCCTGGAATAGTCACTAACTAATTAGTAGACTTACACTAGCAGGATAGGCCACTTACTACTTGACTTTGGACATTAAACTAAATTCATACTCATCCCCAACCACCATCCTCAATTCAATGCATATTAAATCTGCATCCAACAACTGACCAAAAATAACGCATCCAATTTTATCTTGGACAATGCATACAACTCCAGAAATCATTAATACGACGAAATTACATTAATTGGTTGGAAAGATAAGGCTCTTTCTGTTGGATCTCTAAAAAATCATTCCCCTTGGTGTACATCTATATTTAGCATACTGAAATTCCTAACAAATGTACTCAGTATATTTCTATTACTGATGATGCCAGAGAAAGCTGTCCAATTTCCTTAAATTATGGACAAATAGTATTGCTCCCTCAAGGTCCAATCTGTTTTGGAATAATTTGACAGACATGGTTTAAAAAAGGAAAACAAAAAAGACCTTGACAGACATTCTAAATATGAACAAAATACCAAACTAACGTTAGACCAAACAGTGTCTCATATAAAATGGAGCACAACAAGTCAAGTCAATGGAAAATGGGAATGTAAAAATATTTAGTTTCTAAATATAAAGGTGCTGGGACGGCAAACAAAACAGTACCAAAGAAATAGTGACAGAGAGAGTACATTAGATAACACCAATTAACAGAGTTCATCAAAAAAGGAAGAGTTAATTAGTGAACTAGGCAAAACCATTTTCAGACACCCCCAAGCTTTATTAAATGGCTATTCTTTCCATAACAGCTAGAGGGAAAATGGATCCTTCAGTAATAAGATGCATATTCATTCAGTTACATCCTTTGCTTTAAAAAAACGAAGGAACTGCATACCTGCTGGTATGAAGGTGAAATCTGCAATCCTTTTCTCAATATCCCTGATCACCTTATCACGTCCTCTCGCCAGAAATGTTCCGGAACTGGTTCGGACCCTGGCAAGGAGGGAATAACAGGAGAAATGAATTAGAGAATAAATGATGGTAGTACAATTAAATCTCCATAATCCTCAGCTGTACAACCTAGATTAGCAAGTCCGGGGTATGCAAATAATATGCTTACCTGCTGTCCATACTCTTGCCAGTAGAACTATCTACGACACTTGACTTTTGCATGTGAGGCTTGGCAAGACTAATCAGATACTCACATTCCTCCTTGGACTGCCAACGAGATAACAATTAAATTAGAGTCTTTACTCTTTAGGTCAATGAATCCGATAGATAGCAGTAAATGTATCAATCAATAGATCAAAGCTCTAGATTTGCAACACCAGTATCATTTCCATAGTTGGAAAAAGAAATTTCGACATTGAAAACTTCCATATGAGCCTATTTTTTTTTATTGAAATCAAACAATTCTCCTCCAGTCTCCTACAGGTTTCTTTGTTATTCTTTTTTTTTTCATACACTAAGCAACAGAATCCCGATATCAAATTCAGCTTGATTTGTTCACAAATCACAAACTAATTCTTGGTAAAACAACAGTGGCACTTACAAAGCATTTCTTATTTTCTTGACAAGGAAATTTAGCTCTGAGATAAGTAGTAGCCATAAACACAATGTACCCAAAAGGAATCACTAATTGTAAGAGATAAAATGTTAAAGATAGATACCAAGAAGTTATGGTAAACGTAGGCTCTTGGTTCCGAAGAAATCACTTCAACCCACTGATCTCTTTTTCCATCGTCGTCATCGTCTTGTCTGCACCCAAAAACAAGAAAAGCAAGAATCCCCCTCAAAGTTAATCAGATCCCTAAACCAATTGCGAAAAGAAAAAAACAATCTCAAATGAATGGTAACCTTTGAACAGTGTTGTGGACTATAGAGGTGAGATCGTGTGCTTTCTGAGAGCCCCTGGGAATGGAGATAATTCGGAAAGCAAGAAGAATGAGAGCGAAAAAAGACAACACAATAATCCCACCAAAGATCAGTGTGGAATTCGACGATTTTCGAGGCCCCATTCGAGAATGCCTCCCTTTAACTGCCATTGTTACTCAAATCAAGAAAACCCCACAATGAAATCTGCAAAATCTTGAATTTTTGAAGATCTAATCAAGAACTTTGATCAGCTAATGCGACTTGGGATCACAGCTCTGGCTGTTTTCTGGGGAAGAAAAGGAAACTGTGGGTTTTAAAATTTTGACTAATGAAAGACAATTATTTATTTATTTTCGCTAAAACAATGTACTTATGTTTGCAGACTTTCTGTAATCTGTGTGACAGATGGATGCATTATTACTTACTACGCCTAATTTAATCTTTGGATTTTTTGTGACAATAAAGTTGACCTTTTTACTTCACCCAAACAAAACAAAAAAATTACTCATATTTTCGTATTTATTACTCCCTTCATTTCATCTTATTTATTCATTTTTAATATTTGTTCATTTCAGAAACATGTTTAAAATCACGAGATTTAAAAAAAAAAAAAAATCTTAAATTTTATATTAAATTATAATAGAACATGTAAATAAAAAGAGTAGTTTAATGCACTAAGTTTTCACTATATGCATAAAATTTAGAAAAGAATCAAATTATAAGAATTTATTGTATAAAATCGTATTCTATATTCTTGCAAGACACTATTTTCACAGTTCAAAGCATTTAATTATAATATTGATTATTTAATATAATATCATCAAATGAAAATAAGTCATATTTATCATAACTCTTCCAAAAATGTTTCTTTAGATGGTAGACCACTACATTTGCTACATCCTACTATGCTAGTATTTAGTTGCACCACATTTTCTTCAAAACTTTTTAGTTCATGAAACTCAATTAGATAGCTATTAACTAATTGGCATAAAACTCTTTTCCTTAACCATGCTTAGTGGGGAAACAAACATTCCATGTTTTCTTACCCTCTTTTGAAGGTATATTTGGGTAACACATCATGGTTTGCTAGTACTAATTTTGCTTCTTTTATTTTTAACACTATCTTTTTTTTCTTTTCTAAAACCTGAATATTTTAGATATGAGTTCTGATAAAGTGGTAGAACTACTCCATCCTTAATCATACGTTTCGAATTCGATCTTTGAGTATGAAAAGAATTATGTTGGGAGCATCCCTCGAATGAACCATGCAGTATGCAATTCGTATATAATTGGAGCTCCGAGTAATTATGTTTTGTAGATATCCATTACACTTTCACATCATTTAGTTTGTAATTATCGTTGTACATGCATCTCCACTATTTTGATTAATTTCAAAGATTCTCTCAAAACACTATTAATAATTTCTAGTAGCTAACACTTTCAACATGTCTTATCTCTAGTCAGTATTTCCTCCCACCTTCGTTCAATTTTAATTATATCTTGTATTTATTATTTTTTAAACTATATTTTGTATTTATCATTTTATTAATTAACACGTGAAAAGAATTAAAGCGACACATAAATTAAGATGAAGGGAGTATTTGTTGGAGCAAATTATCAATAGGAGATTTCAATCTCTAAATCAGTATAAGTTGAATTAAAGAAATCAGATAGAATTTACATTGTCAATGAAAGACTTGGCTGAACATAGTGGAAAAATCGAGCTTTAATTTATTTATTTATTTATGTGTTTAACAAAATTATGCGTTTTATGTTTATCCTTGCAGTAATTATTTTTGCAAAATTTCTACAGTCAACTACCATCATCAACCTAACTAGTTTGAAAAAGTATGATTCACAAATTTTTGGCTCCTCATCGATATATAGATTAGGTCCCCAAGCTAGATATAATTGACTAACGGACTAAAATAAACAACTATATATCAATGGAAATAATTTTTTATATATATTTTATCCGTGTAATTCAACTCAGATAGATACATTATAGATATGTTTATATATTTCGTACCAAAAGCATATAGACACCCATTTAGAAGTGGGTAAGAGGTCATTTCATAGACGAATCTAGGATTTAAAGTTTATAAATTCTCAACAATTTAAATTAAAAAGAAAATTTTTTAATATAAGTGTCCGAGGGAAATCCAACCCTCACTGAGAAAGAGCAACAAAACTTGAGCAAATTATATATTTGTAGTTGAACAAAGAGCTTACTTTGTTATTGGATTCCCACACTCGATACCCTAGATCCGCCCTTGGTCGCCATCACAAGAAGCTCCTAATTAACTTATGAGCAAAATGATAATATATGGCATTTTCTCATGATTCCCAGACAAATCGGATTCGCGATGCGTCCTTCCTAGTAAGAGGAGAAACGCTCTTTATCAGAATTTTTTTTCTATTCTTCGTGTTCAAACTCAGAGATCCCTAATTAAAAATGATTGAATTTTATCCGTCCCATCACAACTCTTGATGGTACTCATGATGATTTTGCTAATAGACACTAGATCATAATAGTTCTCTAATAGATTGTTCTGCAAAAACTTGATGAATTGAAAGCTGAAATAGATGGAGTATCTCCAATAATAGAACCATTATTTATTAACAGCAGTTTCCACCACAGGTGCATCAGAGTAGTTCACAACCCCAATACAATAATTTCAATGATCATATATATGATACTTCCTTTTGAGTATCACACACTTAAACAAACAATGATATATATACAAGCACAATATACAACACATACATGAAATATGACTCTGTGTGCGTGAACGGCATCATGAATTGCCTAGAAGATCCCAAAAGTGCTTGTGACTGGTGGAGGTGGAGCCTTGTAGCAATATGGTTGCGGAATATAAGTGGAGCTGTGGCGTTCCATGGACTTCAGTGCAGGCTGGTTTAGATATGCATATTTGCTCTTCGTCCACCTGCAACTCTCAAATATGTGAGCGGGCAAAGTAGCTGATAAGCATCAAGTACTGAATCAGATTTTTATCATAAGTACATAGTTACGTCTCACTTACCAGTCCTTTATACCAACTCTCTTCTCCTTCATGTTCTCATTGATTTCGGAGATGTTCTTAGGTACCATTTTGTTCTCCATGTCATCATCATCTACCTTCAAGGAATACACGAAGTATTTGTATTCCTCCGCCTTAACACAACCAACAATATGTAAGCAAGTTAATTCGAAATAATGGAATCTAAATCAATTACTATAACTTAGGACAATCTTATTTCATTTTGTCTATGCTTTCTCACAATTCACAAGGTATCCTCGAGAAAAATAAGTATTTCCCTCTATCGGTCAGGAGATGGGACTCTATTTGTACATCAGTTGCCAGTAGTAGGTTACAGAGCAAGATACAGAGTTGTCAATTGACCTGCTATCAATCTTTAATAGTACAAGTTCCAAATTCATCTTCACAGTTTCTACAAAATTAGTAGTGAGATTAGGACATAGAAGAAAAATTGGGGAACAAAAAGCTAGGTCACAGTCAGTGGCTATATTTATCACCAAGTGCAACTTATGAATCTCTTTTAACTTATATTATATTCATACTGAGACAGAAAATAACAATGGATCTTCATCCAAAACATAATGTTATCATCTTTGTATAGTAGCCTATTGGGACCCTGTGTATATAATAATGCAACCTACATAATAAGCTTTTGCTTATGGGCATAGAAGTATAGTAGTTATCCATCAATTAATTATTATTATTGGCCCTTTCGGCTGAATATATGACTTTTAAGGAATCTTATTAGTAGGATAATACGCAAAGAAAGTGGAACACTCAAGTATAATCTATTCAAAGTATGGAAAAGTTGCAGAGTCATATTGTGTGATTTTGACATATCTCCCACTTTCTATGCTTTATCAAAAGATTTATGGCAAGCAGGACATGGATCAGGATAAGGAAAGATGCAATTTAATATGCACTATTTTCCTATAGTTGTTCACAAAGTGTATGTACATGACATGATTCATCTATATATAAAAAAGAACTGTGATAAACTGATATGAAAACTTTACTGAGAGATTGCGTGCTCTGATTCTGGCTGCAGCCTTGATGGCATCAAGGAAGTGGTCTTCTTCAGTTTTGCGCTTCTGCTTCCAATACTTAGCAATCTCCTGTTTGGTCTGGCTTGGTGTTGTCACTTTCCTGCTAAGAAGAAACCTCGACGTTGGTGGTGGTGGTGGAGGTGCTGGAGCCATCTTCTTTGACTTTTTTCCATCAGCTACACTTTTACCTTCCCTTTGCTTCATGATTTCAATAGATTCTTGCTGGATTCAGAAGTTTGAGCTTTCAAGATTATGAGATGATGAAGAATATATTTATGTACTACACCACAATATGACTGCAAGTTGAGACCTCTCAGTAGGGACGGATTTTAGACTAGTTGGTCAGAGTCAGGCCAGTGCACCATACCAACAAACAAAAATCAAGATAGAATCACAATTTTGGGACTAGATGTTGGAGGACTTACAGGCTTGATATACAATAGAGTCAGCAAATAACAGAAAACTATGCTGCAGAAATTGCTGATACTTGATCTAGACAGACGCCTTTGAAAACTGTGAAGGAGTATGCTTGATTATGGCAAACTTGCGGATATATATTTACAATAAATGACAATAGAATATGACCTTGATAGAAGACCTTTAAGCCACTTGCTTAATTAACTAAGAAATTAGAAAACGGCCTGTCATTATCATTTATCCTTATGTCAGCAATTTGGTGGGGCATTATCAGTTAACCACCACCATTGTCTCTGTTTTTTTGTGTGTCGTGATAAAAGTTTCTTTCCAAAAAGCAACATAGTTTCCATCGCAAGTGCAATGCTAAAAATGATATTGGATGGATACTTTTGACGGCAATAGTGGACAATATGCACTACTTCAAATTTTACAAGACGCAACATCATGAAAAGATTATTTTCTTCTATTCAAATGTTGAGATCTTATCTTATCCTCTCACACAGTAAGTCTAATTTTCTTTGTCAGCCCATCTTGCCAGAAACACCAAAACCAACCTTGAGCAGTCACTGAAGTGAAATCACAGAAATGAACACCAAACATTCTTGATGAGTAGCAGGTGGGATAACTATGTTCTCAATTTTTACAGTCAAAACTCCTATCTGGTACAATTTCTAGATTCATCTTGACGGTTCAGATTACACTGGTGCATAGATTTGGAAGAAAGGGAGATTAAAAACAATAAAGATCGCAGTCATAGTTGATTTTAACGCAGAGTAGCTTCAGCATCTCTTCTTCCAGCTTCATAAAATATTCAAGAGAGAGAAAATAACACGGTATAGTCCCACGCACATATTTTATCATCCACTTTATTGTGGCCCATCAGCCAATAAGAGAGCACACTTGAAAATTAAAATAATGCAACGTAGATTGATTTTGCTTATGGGGCAGATATAGAATACTAATAAGCATCCCATATTGAACCGATAGTCTATCAGAATAATTTATCTACCTTCATATAACCTCACTTGTAAAATTACACCGAGTATGTTGTTGTATTAGTAGTAGTACTAGATGTCCTTCAAACAATAATTGACCCACTCGATCAATTTGACTTTCTAAGGAATCTTATTAGGAGGATACACAGAGAAAGTTTAGCACTCAATAGTTGTTATTTCTATTCTGAGAAGGAAAAGTTGTACAGTAAGTCATAAATTGTATGATTTGACTGATCTCCTACTTCCTCACTAGTCACTACTTTTGATTGCCTAAACTTTAAAATTGAGAAAGAATATTCAAAACAATGATATCAATCAGGACAAGAAACAGGATGAGTCCTTGATAGAGGGGAAGCAATTCCAATGAGCTGGTAGGTGTTAAACAAATGATAAACAGGACAAGAGCCCTAAATTAATCAACCTCCTGAAAAAAAAAATCAGATTGTCTTTTGTTATAGTTGTCATCAAGGTTAATGTAAAATGATTCATCTATCAAAATTTACTAATCTGCAAGTACTAATGCTGTCTTTAATGAAATCAATATTAAACCTCACCTAGAGATTGTCTCTCTTCCCTGATTTCGACTGCAGCCTTAAATGGCACCAAGGAAGTAATTTTCCGCAGTCTAGAGCTTCTGCTTCCAATATTTTAGCAATCTCCTTATTGGTTAGACTTACCACAGCCATCTGCACAAATGACAATTTCCTGCTAGAAGAAAGCCTGCTTGGTGATGGTGGTGATGGTGGTGGTGGTCGTGAAGCAGTGCAGCGATCCACTTAAACTTTTTTCCATCAGCAACACAATCAACTTTGTTCTGCTTCATTTTCAGAGTCCCAAGTGACTATTTTTTCAATAGGATTCTTGTTGGATTTAGAATATCTTCCTTAATTGAGCTACAGAAACTATAATTGAGCTAAAGCCCTTCGAAAATGATCCTGGCAAACTTTCAGAAATCCTAGAGCAAATGTCAGGAGAGTATGCTATCGATCCAGACCTCTAAACCACTAGCTTAATTTACTATAAAACAGACATCATCATCCTCAGTTCAGCAGTTTGGTCACCAATTAACTAGAAATTATAACCACCATTATGCTGTTCTTTTTTGTGTCTTGCTACATGTTCCCTTTGCTAAGCAACACTGAACACGAACTCATTATCAGTGGAGTTAGAATGGTAGGAATGATACTGATGTCAGAAATTTGTGAATGTAGCAGTGGCCAATGGACAATATGTACAATCCCTTTAATCAAGAAACTTAAGCATATCCTGCCTCTCAAAGAGAGAGATATACATAAATTAAAAGGAAACAGAACTTCAACATGAATCTTGTCCAGCCATGATCGAGACAACTAATTATCTCAGTACATGTCTGCACCGGGATCTCATCAAGTTACAACTACTAAGATCAACCTTGCTAGAATTTTTATCTTAGTTCCTGCCCAACTCCCCACACTTCTACCTCGCGGAAGATTCATTATTGTTCTGAGAATTGGCTGGCGGAATGTTTCTTTTCTCAGCACAAACGTACCCAACGACACATATTTGAACTTGATGTTCATTATCAAGATAAATATATAAAGGATTTCCCCACTGTGAAAGGGAGAATCAACTCCTGAGCACCTTATGAAACTGCAGACTTAGAGGCAAAACTTAATCTATAAATTTACGGCAAACAAAAACATTACGGATCTTTAACCTCCATCAGTTGGCTTATAATTGAATCTTTCAGCAGAAATGCAGATAAGATGACTAATAATTTTGCAACGCCAACAGTCAAAATAATGACAACAAATACACCTCAATCCAATATAGTGGGGTCAGCTACACGAATCATCACAATGTATATTGCTCCATTAGATCTATCTCAATCAAATATTTAATAATTTAGGCTCTCTATCACTAAAAGTTCTCTATATTTCCTAATAGCACAGAAATCTTCTTGCAAAATAAAATTATTTCTCCTTCTCGGGTGGACATAGCTCTGAAAGAAAAGGTAGTCTACAGTTCCCTATACTAGAAAATGCTCATAAACCTATATTACACCAAAAGTTTGCTGCAGTCTTGTTCTGTCAAAATAAACAATAACTTATAAAACCAGACCACCCTTCATTTATTCCTACTACACTACTATAATAATGAACCTTTTATTGCAATATAACAAGAGAAGTTCAAGACAAATTTCTATAGGTAATGATTGAAGTGGACAATCAGAAAATGGATCATCAAATATCCTATATATAAGCTAAATAGGGGTAACATTCCGAATAAGAGGAATCACAAGCAGAAAGTCTAGAATAAGACCATAAAATTGCATACCAAGTAAGCATATATATGTACATTCATATGTGTGACCTCAATAAGGAGATCGTGGACAAACATCTTTCATGTCATAAAGACCCTGAATGCCAACAAAAACAATAAGGATTAAATGACCACAGTTAATTTCTTGGAAGCAAAATCAACTTATCAGTACCAGAGGTTCTCGCAGGAAAGATACTGCTGATGAGAATGGACAAGGGCCATATCATTGAAGGACAAGGAAAGATGAAAAGCTACGAAGCAAACACATATGCATGGCTATTTGACATGATTGACTACAGAATCAACCTTCTTCTTTCAAGGAAAAAAAAACTAAAATAAACCTCCTAATCACTGGTCCTCTTTTCTCCATGAAGAAAATCGTTGCAATAATCAGAGATGCCAAATATACAAAGAGAGCCTCAAAATAAGTTGGCAGAATTTTAAATTTATTAGTTTTTTCAGTACAAAGCCTAAGGTTTATCTGTAGGTAGGAGTCTCTGAACATCTAATTAAATTACCCAAATCACAAATCAGCAATCGTTTAACATTCTACTTCCAGCATACAAAACAAAAATTGATCTTAGCTTTCATCCTTCTTTCCAAATGGAAATTAAAAACTTCTGTAAAGAAAAGTCATAAAAGGTGAGTCTTTCTATTGATCCAGTATGAATATTTACACAAAATATGAAACAACAACTCACAAAACCAACAAAATGTAAAAATCAAAATCTCATATACACAAACATCATACATCTCTTAATCCATATACAAACCTCAACATCTAAAATCCCCCCCTCCCCCAAAAAAAAAATCAAAAATTAAATAACATGTCAAGTTTCAGAAGTAATCTTCAAAGCTTTATTTTTCATCCTATACCTTGCAGCTCTAGGAATAACCTGACTAGGACCAAAATGAAACTGACCCGGACTATCAGTCATCGGTGGCCCATCATCATACACATAGCCCACGACCTTCCCACAATTCATACACATCATCTTAGTCCTTTTCCTTTGAATTCCCCAATAATCAAGGGTTTCGAAAAAGGGTCTAATTTTATCTTCTTTCTCGAACTTGAATTTGGATGAATCAACAGCGGAAAAAGATAGAGTACCTTTATTGCCTGCTTCGAAGTAAAAATCCGGTGGGAAAAGATAGTTGGTATGGAGATTGAAGTTTGTATGGCACTCTTTACAACTGTAGATTGATGCCATCTTTGACGGTGAAGGGGTTCGATTGTGGAAAGGGGTTTTTATGAAGGGAAAAATTTGGGGAAGATGAATTGGGTTGTGAAGGTGTCAAAACCGCGTTCTCCGTGAATTTGGGAAGGCGTTGAAAAGTCTGATAATCTAGACGCTAGGCGGCAAGAACAAGGTTACCGGTCCGACCTAGGGCAGTGGAAAAATCACTTCATTTTCATATAAATAAGATAATATAAAAATTAATCCTACTAATATTTTTAAAGTATAAATATATTAGGAAAAAAGGTTAAAAATAATATCAAATTGTTGATTGTAGCTTGCCATTAAAATAAAATTATTCTTACCATGTTGTTATTATACTTATCATATGTGCCCACGGAAATTCTCAAATCACTTAAAATTACCTGATTTTAATTTAAAAAAATAACTCAAACTTAAATCCGACCCAATTAACTTAACCCAAACTTACTTTACCACCATCTCTAAAGCAAAAGCTCAAATATTCAATCCCTCTATTTCCGATGAATGGCAATTGAAAGTCTTCTATTACTTGTAAGGGATCCGAAAACAAGAAATAGAGAGTAACAAACATTGCATCTCTTGATTTAGTAAAGCTTAGAACTATCAAAGGAAGACGAAAAATAGGGTACATGATAAAGCAACTATTCATACAAAATTATGCTAAAATCAAACATTATCAACTAGGGTTCAAAAAGAAATCGAAGAGATTTGGGACTTGAAAGTTGAAAAAGGAAAAGGGATAAAATTATGTCGGAACAAGAAGTGAAGGAAACTGAGCTTTGGGTTTCCATTTTAAAACAAGCACACAAAGACTTTAGATTTATGTCCAATAAACTTTAAAAAAAGAAAGGATTGTTCTTTATAGTAATAGAGCTCAATACCATTTAATTTTAGGACGAGCAAAGTTAGCTAGGCGATTGCAGCAGGGGCTCAAATTGATTTGCGTCGGTTCATCGAGATAGAAGAAAGAGTAAGAAAGAACGAAGCGAGGACGAAGGGAATTATCCTTCCATTGCTTGATGACTTGTTTGAGGCGGACGATTTTGGTTATCATGTGAACTTTTTTGATGGAGCAAGAAGTAGCTATTGTTGTTGCTCTAAGCTTTGGGGAAAGATGCATGCATAAGTTGATGAGAGAGTAAAAAAAGGTCCGTTGTTATTTGCTGTTTAGTATAGCGGGTCGGGTTTCAGTTAAAATAGATAATTGAGTCATTTTAATTGAAATCGGGTTAATTTTGATTGATTTGGGGATTTTCGTCCATAGAGGGGCACGAATGATAAGTGTAGAGACGGCAGGGGTAAAGAATAACTTCATTTTAACGGTAAGGGTAAAGTCAATTAATAAATGAAAGTTGAGATGTATTTTTGACCGTTTCCCAATATATTACATAAGACAATTTAGTAAAATATGATTTTATTATTTTTGTTTTTTGTTAAAATTTAAATCTAGTTGAAGCCCATTTTTAAATTTTTCCTATTGCATTCAAAAGTTTTAGTATTTTCACAACTGCAAATCTTTTTGAGTGTATGTGGAATGATTTCTTTTGTACTCATATAATCTTTACGTATTTGATATGTCATTATTAATTTTGTGCTACCTTTTAAATGAAATGTCATTTTTGGATACAGTTTCAAGAATTTTCCTATGTTGCTTATATAATTTATTTTATGACCATCATACAAATCATTTTTGGATATGGTTTAAAAAAAAAATTATGTTGCTTATATAACTTATTCTCTGACCATCATACAACCCATTTTGGACATGTTTTCAAGAAATTTTCTATGTTGCTTATATAATTTATGCTCTAGCCATCATAAAAACCATTTTTTGACATGATTTCAAGAAATTTCCTATGTTGCTTATATAATTTATTTTCTGACCATCATACAAATCATTTTTGGATATGATTTTAAGAAATTTTTTGTGTTGCTTATATAATTTATTCTCTGACCATTATACAAACCATTTTTGGATATGATTTTAAGAAATTTTCTATATTGCTTATATAATTTATTCTCTAACCACCATACAAATCATTTTTGGTTATGGTTTCAAGAAATTTCCTATATTGCATATTTTATTTATTCTCTTACCATCATACAAACCATTTTTGGATATAGTTTCAAGAATTTTTGTATGTTTCTTATATAATTTATTCTCTAATCATCATACAAACTATTTTTGAATATGGTTCAAGAAATTCCCTATATTGGTTATATATTTTATTCTCTAACCATCATACAAAATATTTTTGGATATGGTTTCAAGAAATTTCCTATATTGGTTATATATTTTATTCTCTGACCATCATACAAAATATTTTTGGATATAGTTTCAAGAAAATTCCTATGTTACTTATATAATTTATTCTCTCACTATCATACATTGAATGTTTTTCATAAAAATACAATGAATAATATTTAATTATTAAGAAACAATGACCATTACGTGTTATGAATTAATTTTTACAATACATATAATTAACGTTCCTTTTACGATTGTTGTGTGAAAGAAGTAATTGTTGCCTCCAAATGATATATATTTTTAGAGAATAAAATCAATACTTATAAATCATATATAGTGGTGATTGATTTAGAAAGTTGGGAAATGGTAATTGAGAAAAATAATGTTCACATGTGGACTATTTCTATATACTCATTATTTAGCATAGCCCAGTAATAAACTAAAACATTTTCCTTGTAGAAAGGTACACATATTAAAGACCTATATTATATCATCATTAATTAATAAAAATAAATCGAACTCAATTTTATAATACAAATAAAAGGCCGACTATTAATGAATGGTAAATAACGCAAATATAGCTCAAACATAAATGATAGAATTCAAAAATTGTTGAAGGAATTTTTCTCAGCAAATACAGCTGATACGTTAATTAATAAAGTAAAGAAAATAGTAATTAATATAAAAACAACTAATTGAAAAGGTGACTGTCAATAACTAATCACTTGAGTCAATATCTCAAATGGTCACTCAACTTTGAGTAGTTTACCTAAAAAATCACTTAACTTTGTTTTATCACTCAACTATTGATATTTCACATAGAAAGTCATTCAAGCAATGATATTTTACTTAGAAAGTCATCTAACTAATTTAAATAATCTCTTCATTAAATTTTGTTGAAATACAATATTATTTTAAAATAATTTCGAAAAAAAATGCTCATTTTAATTATTTTATTGAATTTTGTTGAAATATATATTTTAAAAAAAATATAATAAAAGATCGCTACTACGCATCTTTTTTATTACTCCTTTTAATTTAGTAAAAGATTTATATTTTAAATGTGCAGTTGCAATTGACAAATTAAAATTAAAACCTACAGTAGCATTCCTATTAATTTAATAAAAAATAATAAAAGATTGCTATTTTAAACGTACAGTAGCAATTGAGAGAAAAAAATGCTTTTCAGTTCTAGCAATTGTTTTACTGGAATTAAATATGCTAAGAAAATGCTACTGTTCGTTTTTAAAAAAAAATGTAATTAAATAACTGAAGAAGGTCAATAAGATAATTAAAATAAATATCTTATTATTTCTTAAGAAATACTTTAAAACAAAATTAGATTTCAACAAAATTTAATGAATAAATTATTTAAATTTGTTGGGTGACTTTTTAAGTGAAATAATAATAGTTGAGTGACTTTCTAAGTGAAATACTAATAGTTGAGTGACTTTCTAAGTGAAATAACAATAGTTGAGTGACTTTTAAGTTATAAAATAAAGTTGAGTGACTTTTTAAGTGAATAATTCAAAGTTAAGTGACTTTCTAAGTGAAGTATGCAAAGTTAAGTGACCATCTGAGATATTATCTCCTAATCACTTAACTAATTCAAGTGGTAATTTAAATCATTCAATATTCTAGTAATAATTTTATTTAACTAGTTGTTGAAAAGAACAATATACAACATCATAATTAATGTATAAAAACTTTGGAGAAAAATATTAATTAGTAAAAGTATAATGGTGGCAAACCCTTAAAATATTCAAGAACAAAAAGATATGAAAAATTCGAATGACCAGTAAAACGGTTAGATATTTTTACACAAAAGAATGTTTTTTTAGAATTGGTTGTTATGTTATCCACTTATTCTACACACGCATTTAAAATAATTCCTACGAAGCAATAATTAAAACATACTGAATCTTACCGTCTAGCCGACGTAATCTCAATTGACACTTATAAAAAAGATATGAAGAATATGAATGACACGTGATGGTTAGGAATTTTTACACGAAATAATAGTTTTTCAGGATTGGTCGTTATGTTTTCCCACTTATTCTACATACTCGTTTTAGAATTATCACTACAAAGCTTTAATTAAAATATACCAAATCTTACGGTATAGCCAACGTAATCTATATTAACACTTAGAAAAAGATTATGAAGATTCTGAATGACCGATAAGACGATTAGGATTTTTTACACGAAAGAAGGAATTTTCATGATTGATCGTTATGTTTCCCAGTTATTACACACTCGTTTTAAGATTATTACTAAGAAGCTATAATTAAAATATACTAAATCTTACAGTCTAGCCGACATAATCTTTGTTGACTCTTATTAAAAATTTTGGAAAATCCGAATGACCGGTAATACGGTTAGAATTTTTTACACAAAAGAATGATTTTTCAGAATTGGTTGTTATGTTATCCACTTATTCTACACACACATTTAAAATAATCCCTACGAAGCTATAATTAAAATATATTGAATCTTACCGTCAAGCCGACGTAATCTCCATTGACACTTATAAAAAAGATATGAAGAATCTAAATGACCGGTAAGACAGTTATAAATTTTTACATGAAAGAATAGTTTTCAGGATTAATGGTCGTTATGTTTCCCACTTATTCTACATAAAACTCGTTTTAAAATTATCACTACAAAGCTATAATTAAAATATACCGAATCTTATTGTCTATCCAACGTAATCTATATTAACACTTAGAAAAATAATATGAAGATTCCGAATGACCGGTAAGACGGTTAGGATTTTTTACACGAAAGAAGGATTTTTCAGGATTGATCGTTATGTTTCCCAGTTATTACACACTCGTTTTAAAATTATCACTAAGAAGCTATAATCAAAATATACCAAATCTTACCGTTTAGCCGACATAATCTCTATCTACACTTAT